CTTGGCCCGCGGCCCGCGCGGGCTGGCCCGTTTCGGCCCGCTCCCCTGCGGGCCTAGAAAATCCCAACCCAACCTGCCCCTGGGCCTAGAAAATCTCAACCCAATCTGCCCCTTTTGCGGGGCGGGACGGGCCGGCCCACGGGCCGCGGGCCAAATTGACAGCTCTACCTTTGATGGGGCTCGTCAAATTAGAGGAAGTGGAATACCATTGCTCTCGAATGGTGATTTTCAATGAATGGTATAGAAGATATTGGAGACGAAAGAACACTAATAATGGAGATTTCGTGATAAGGTATGGTATTAAGTAAGGGCGGTTTTTAAGTAATTACGTCAACCCAATAGGGTATTATAGTCTCAAAATAAAAAAGTAAGGGATATTTATGTCTTTTATCAACAAAGATACTGTATAGATATTCTCAATCTTGACACCCTCCCCAAGACCAAATTATCTGTTGAAACCAAGATTAAGCATTAAATTGTCGCGGACCAGACGTAATCTTACGAGCAGTGCAAACAAATACTAATTTTAGGGTAGATAAAAGGGGTAATCTTATCTAATCATTTCTAACAATGTGCTCGTAGTCTTTTATTTGTTATCTCTTGATTGAAATAAACATAGAGAGTTATCTCTTTATTTCAGCATAGGGAGTCATCTCTTTATTTCTTTCATTCGCTTATGCTTTCATTACGTCGGTATCTAAAAGACCTTAATTAGGCATTGGTTACATGACAAGTTGGGCCCTTGGTATGTAGGAATAAAACAAAATTTAGACGAGGTCATAAAATAAAATAATAAATTTATTGTTGTTGTTGTAATAAAATAATAAATTTATTTATACTGATACATAAGTCAGAAGATCTATAATGTAAAATAAAATAATTAATACGGTTAAATACAAATTATCTTTCGAAATATAATGTATTTTTTAACTATTATATTAATTTTAATATAGTTATTATTTATTAATTTTATAATTAAGGTCCGTTTGGTTGGATGGATTGTGCATGATATCACACTATTTCACAATATGTCCATCTCATTAACATGTTTGGTTCCAATAATGAGGCCCTTGAAATGAGTAATAGTCCGGTCAATTTGTAAGATATTTCATGATTATATATCCCACCTTTTTGGTGGGATGTGGAGTGTATCATTATTTTGCTATTAAATTTACATAATTACCCATAACTCTTTTCTTCCACAAATTTTCACATATTTCCCCCAACTTTTCTAAGATATCCATCCTTTCTTTCTCATCCTCACACCTCAATTTTCTTCTCCAGTTCCATTGACGACCATGCTCAACCTCTGCTCCAAATAAAGTCAACCCCAAATGACTCCGCCGTCGCCCTCCGCTCCTGGACCTCAGGCGACCGCGCCCCAACAATTAGTTCGGCGTCATCTGCAGTCCCAATGGTGCCGTCTAGAACCCAGCCTCAAGTCGGTCGACCTGTGGGGCCCAAACCCTCCTTCTACAGTCCCCCAACATCGCGGCGCAATGCCCGCTGATCTACAACAATATTGCTTTCCGACAAGGATTTTCTCAGCGTTTGTGTTTCCGACGAACAAAGAAGGAAAAAAAAATAGAATTTCTATTGTAGAATTTTGTATAATAAAAGAAAAATCTGATTTTTTTTTCAACAAGGAATTATTTGTTGTAAAAATTAGGGTTTTGGATTTTTTTTGTGCATTTTTAATACACTATGAGCAAAGGAATTGGTATATGTGAAAGCTACTTAGTTTTTAAATTGTGTTTTCATGAATTTTCAATTTCAGAAATCTGAGTTTTTTCACACTCAAGCTTGGGGCTGCGGGAGATGAAAACAGGCATGGTGATGCGGAAAGATGAAAACAAACATTTGCAAATTGAATTTTAAATAAAGGACAAAAAGATAATTTCAACTTAAAAGTTTTAATAATCATTTAGTAACCAAACAAGTTAATAGGCCTCTTTTATCAAAAAGATAACACATAAATATTTTAGTAGGAAATAATCAAGCTCACTCAATAAAACTAACCAAACTCACCCTTATTATATATTTGATGTATAAAAACCAAAAATATATTTTTATTTTATTAGGAGTAGACTAGACTGTAATCTTAAAATTGTGGGCCATCCCGTAATTTCAAGGTGCGGGCCCCACACGTATCTATTATCCAAACGTTGGTTCGATTCTCCCGCGAGTTTTAACTGGCGAAATAACAGCACAGCCTCTGAAAGTCTCTCTCAATCCCCTTCTCCTTAGCCTTCTCTTTCTCCATCTCCTTCACATTATTCCCAAACATTTAATTTTTCATTACTTATTTATTTATTTATTTCATGTTTTTCAATTTTTCCCCTTTTAATCTTTCCATTTGCAAATGGCCATGTCTGCTAATGTTCATCTTCTCATTTGGATAACCCATTTTTAAGGTCTCTTCATGGAAATTATTTTTTTCTTCTACATATTGTTTCACCTTTTTTATTGATGCCAACAATTGCAAACAAAATAAAGTAAAAAATAACATTTTTTTTAGTTATGTATGTAAAAAAATTCACAAGCAATTGCCTATAAAAAGATTGCATTTTTTTTTTCTTTTCCATTAGTTCTTGATTTCATTTATTAATTAACACCTGTTTGTGAGAATACAGGAATTTATATGAATGGTATAGACCAATTCAAGCATTTTTGAAGGATACATTTTCAAGGTGGATTGTTTTTTCCTTCTTCTTTTCCCAGTCAAGAAATTACTCTTTGATGTATACTTAAGGGGATGAATTTGTAGATATTGTTGAGAATATATGTGGCACATAATAGTAATCTTTGTTGATTTCCTTATATTCTTTCTTGTTACTATTTTCCTCTACAGCTAGCTTTCACCAAAAA